TTTAATCCCCAATGGTCATCCTTGGTGTCTCTAGCATGACTCTCACTATTATTATCTTGCCAGTGTACTTTCAAGTTTATTGGATACATGTTTGTGTCCCTGACTCACATGTGCATGACATTTTTCTTTTTATAAGACAGAATTTCTTATGGCTTAAATCAAAAGATCAAATGTTGGTGTGGGTGTTGCCATCAGGTGGTGCTTACTTATTAATGAGCATGGAGGAGTGAGATCTAGCTTTCTGCTTCCCCCATATCTTGAGGTTATCTTGAGGTGATTTCGGGGGCTTTGCGTCCCTGCGACCCGATCCTCACCCAGGCCTCCCATTTGTTACACATCCTCGGGAAGCAGCCTGTAGCAGCTACCTAACTACCAGGTACTTATTTACTGCTAGGTGAACAGAGGAATCAGGGTGAAGGAAACTCTGCCTATTTGTTTCAGCCTCCACCGGGGATCGAACGAATCCGAAGCGCTGTCCACTCAGCTGTCAGGCCCCTATCCACTTAAATCTAATTAAGGGTAGTGACCAGGTGGGCAACTTGACAGCTCATCATTGTTACTTTACAAATCTTGTGTTGCCAGAAAGAGCCTAGTAAGGAAGTGCTTATAAGTTAACTTTCAGTAGCCACTCCAGGCTGCACTGAGCCTTTCTTCATACCTCCCTAGTACAACAAAACAGATTCATCTTTAAAAATTCTATTGTGCCAGTGTGTATAATGTCCCCCTAGCCTGAATATCATGATCATTTCCAAAAAAAAAAAAAAAAAAAAAAAAAAAAAAAAAAAAAAAAAAAAAAAAAAAAAAAAAAAAAAAAAAAATTTTTTTTTTTTTTTTTTTTTTTTTTTTTTTTTTTTTTTTTTTTTTTTTTTTTTTCAGATTTAAAATTAGTTAGCAAATTATTAGGCATAAGTACAACCTTCTATAATCCAATAATAGTAGCAACTCACTTATCAATATGGAAGTTAGAGGAAGAGGTTAGCTACTGCTTGCTCAAGGATAACATTGATGGGCTTAGAGAATGTTTTCTGATAACAGATATTGATTGCAGTTCCTTTGGCTACAACCTTTGCAATCCAAAAATAACACTACAACAATATATAAAAAATTGCACCCACTAAAATCTATAAACAAATGGGAACATTTTAACCAAAGAGCAAAACCTAATGTATGAATGGTAAAGTAACTGACCTGAGCATGAGTGTGGTGTGTAGTGATGCCAGCAAGTGAGGAGACACTGTGCCGCCTGCTGCCAGTGTACACCAGCTTGGCTCTGCAATATCTCCACACTTGTCCTCACTGCTGCCGATACCACGCTCTCAAATGTTAAGTACTCGGTGTCATTATTTAGTGGGCTAAAAGAAAAAAACATTAAGTATTAGCAATTTTCTTGAGATTTGGTTTTACATTTATATGCAGTATTTACCTGTATTATGGTTGTGAAAATAATGCTGTGAAAATGATCTCCCACCATTATCATCTTAACCTTTAGACCGCACATATTACCGTGCATCGTGGGGGCCTAGTAGCGAAAAATATATCGAATTATTAAAAATAACCTTAAAGTGTTAAACAAATCTCCCAACTTATTGGCTTCAGTGTCATGAAACTTTCATCAACATATTTTCAGAAATTGATTTTAGACGAATTTTAAAAAAACAAGAACGCTTTGTTGATAAGGAGACCCGCTCCTAATAACTGGAACTGAAGGATTATACAGTAATAAAGAGATGCAAGCACCTGTCCGACATCAAAGAGGAAGAAGAATAGTCCAATGTTAATATATGTTACTTTCATTAATGTCCCAAAAATATTTTTTTAGGGAAATTATTTTTTTTTAAAGATTTAATTTTTTCTCCTTTGTTTATAATCTGATTATGTTGTAACCTTTACATCCTAGAGAATGCATATATTTCCCTAACTATTAGAAGATAGAATGAAATTTGTCAACAAATAAATCAGTCATAACTCACAAAACTAGGGACTTTTTAATTTTGGGGGCTGATTTTTACTCTGATTTCAAACTCTCTTTTCTTTGTCTCTTTAGGATGTTTTGATGATTAGGGACCATATTAGGGCTTTTTCACTTATATAAAGTATACCTTAAATATATCCCCTAAATCATTATAATTATTATAATTATCCCTATATTTTGTGTTTTTTGGGGGGCATTTTTTCTTGACTTCATTTCAACACATATTGACCTACAACTTTTACATATTTGAGCACAAATACCAAACAATGTTTACTAAATATTACAATTAAATTAACGAATTAACACTTTCGCGCTCTCGGCGCTCAAAAAAAAACAATACCCCAGATGCTTTCGGCACTTCGCGCGCCTACGCGGTAAGACCGAAAAAGTGTACACTCTTTTGACTGTCCTGACAATAATGAAGGCGCACGTATTTAAATTTGGTATCACTGTGTTCGCAATGAAATTGTCTATAAGAGCATACCTATAAAATGCCGCCCAAGCATAAGGAGTATCAACACCAAATAAAAAACTATGCAGATCACTCGCCGAGAGCGCCATACAGCAACAAAATGTTTCCACTCTCTTAATGGTTGCGAAGCCTACAGTTGTCCTACATCGCTAATTTTGGTATCATTGGAATCGCAATAAAATTCTCTACACGGACATATGCATATGAATGTTTATATAGGTAATTGCCCACCCGTAAGAGTGTGTGAAGTGGAGAGTAGTTAGCCGCGAGCGCACTGGCGAAAACACAGGGGGGAAATCATGCTTGGAAAGTTTATACGTTTCCTGACCCTACTTTTCTATGTACGTATTTCTTTTTTATACCAATGTGTTCGCAATAAAATTTTCTATAAGATGAACTGTATAACATTTGTACAAAGCATGTGTAAGAGAAGCGCCAAATATAGAACCACGTTGCTCAGTATGCGTTCGCGGCAGAAACGAACGCATTGTTTTCGTTCGTTTGATGTTTGTCATGTTTATACTTGTTGAAACATTTTATAATTTGTATGACAGTGATCGCAGTAAAATTCCCTACACAGACATATACATAACACATACAAATATTTCCCACGTGTTGATATATCAACGGCTAAAGGGAACCCACTGCCACACGCTCGCCTCAAAAGTCTGGAGCCAGAGCACACAAGCGCTGCCTATAGCATCAACCTCAAGAACTGGGGTGTGGATCCCCGGCTCAGGAGGTCTGGGCTTCCCCCTTCCCCCTCCCGGGGAAGGGGTGACGTCATACTAGTTTGCTAGTTTTGTTTGGGGCGTTCTATCTATTCGTTCGTGTTTTGGTTGCAATTTTTACCAGAATAGGGGTTTGTTTTGGGAAGCTTACCTTTCTAGGTGCCTAACCTGGTCATTGGCAGACATAGAATGCTTCCAACCACATAGGGGTTTCTATAGGCCATTGCTTCTCTTGCCTCTCTAGAGGGGGCCAGGTTCTGGCTCGTGGTCCCCGGTAGGCCCATAAGAACTCCATACACATGACTGATGCCAAAGTCTGACATTAGCATATCAGCCTAGTAAGCTCCGGGAAGCCATAGGGGCTACCTCCACTGTTCACAGTTTCATGGATATCTTGGCCAGTTCAGAAGCTAAATCTGCTGTCTGTAGCTTTCAGAGGTGGTCCATCGATTTTTTTTTAATCCCCAATGGTCATCCTTGGTGTCTCTAGCATGACTCTCACTATTATTATCTTGCCAGTGTACTTTCAAGTTTTTGGATACATGTTTGTGTCCCTGACTCACATGTGCATGACATTTTTCTTTTTATAAGACAGAATTTCTTATGGCTTAAATCAAAAGATCAAATGTTGTGTGGGTGTTGCCATCAGGTGGTGCTTACTTATTAATGAGCATGGAGGAGTGAGATCTAGCTTTCTGCTTCCCCCATATCTTGAGGTTATCTTGAGGTGATTTCGGGGGCTTTGCGTCCCTGCGACCCGATCCTCACCCAGGCCTCCCATTTGTTACACATCCTCGGGAAGCAGCCTGTAGCAGCTACCTAACTACCAGGTACTTATTTACTGCTAGGTGAACAGAGGAATCAGGGTGAAGGAAACTCTGCCTATTTGTTTCAGCCTCCACCGGGGATCGAACGAATCCGAAGCGCTGTCCACTCAGCTGTCAGGCCCCTATCCACTTAAATCTAATTAAGGGTAGTGACCAGGTGGGCAACTTGACAGCTCATCATTGTTACTTTACAAATCTTGTGTTGCCAGAAAGAGCCTAGTAAGGAAGTGCTTATAAGTTAACTTTCAGTAGCCACTCCAGGCTGCACTGAGCCTTTCTTCATACCTCCCTAGTACTAACGAAAACAGATTCATCTTTAAAAATGTCTATTGTGCCAGTGTGTATAATGTCCCCCTAGCCTGAATATCATGATCATTTCCAAAAGGGATTTACAGTGATCTTGTCTTAGGGAGCCTCCAAGTAAAATATCCCAGAAAAGAGTTATCATATTCATACAAAACTATTTTTTTATTATTGTGATCGTCAGGTGTATGATGAATTTATATAAGCACAGTACTATTAAACAAAATAGTAATTTTACTTCTGAATGGGATTAATTGGCACATAATTTACATATTCATAAGGGAAAGAAGATTCCCCCCTAATAAACACTGAATGTGTGTAACAGTGAAAGAGCACAAGTTGTGGTAGGTATGTTAGACATTTTTTAAACAATTCAGATTTAAAATAAGTTAGCAAAGTATCAGGCATAAGTACAACCTTCCATAATCCAATAATAGTAGCAACTCACTTATCGATATGGAAGTTAGAGGAAAACATTAGCTACTGCTTGCTCCAGGATAACATTGATGGGCTTAGAGAATGTTTTCTGATAACAGATATTGATTGCAGTTCCTTTGGCTACAACCTTTGCAATCCAAAAATAACACTACAACAATATATAAAAAATTGCACCCACTAAAATCTATAAACAAATGGGAAACATTTTAACCAAAGAGCAAAAACCTAATGTGTGAAATGGTAGAAGTGGAACTGACCTGAGCAATGAGTGTGGTGTGTAGTGATGCCAGCAAGTGAGGAGACACTGTGCCGCCTGCTGCCAGTGTACCACCAGCTTGGCTCTGCAATATCTCCACACTTGTCCTCACTGCTGCCGATACCACGCTCTCAAATGTTAAGTACTCGGTGTCATTATTTAGTGGCTAAAAGAAAACAACATTAAGTATTAGCAATATTCTTGAGATTTGGTTTTACATTTATATGCATTATTTACTTGAATTATGGTTGTGAAAATAATGCTGTGAAAATGATCTACCACCATTATCATCTTAACCTTTAGACCGCACATATTACCGTGCATATTGGGGGCCTGGTGGCGAAAAATATTCGAATTATGTAAAAATAACCTAAAAATGTTAAACAAATCTCCAACTTATTGGCTTCAGTGTCATGAAACTTTCATCAAAATATTTTCAGAAATTGATTTTAGACGAATTTTTAAAAAATAAGAACGCTTTGTTGATAAGGAGAACAGCTCCTAATCACTGGAACTGAAGGATTATACAGTAATAAAGAGATGCGAGCACCTGTCCGACGCTCAAAGTGGAAGAAGAATAGTAGTAAGAAGTGTCCACAAAGTGGATAATGCAGTTGGTGCCTTTATATCATTGCTGAGTAATACATAATAACACAAATAATAATAAGTAACTATGTTAGTATGCTCTATTTTGTTATATATCATATAAATAAATTGTCCAATGTTAATATATGTTACTTTCATCAATGTCCCAAAAATATTTTTTTAGGGAAATTATTTTTTTTAAAGATTTAATTTTTTTCTCCTTTGTTTATAATCTGATTATGTTGTAACCTTTACATCCTAGAGAATGCACATATTTCCCTATTAGAAGATAGAATGAAATTTGTCAACAAATAAATCAGTCATAACTCACAAAACTAGGGACTTTTTAATTTTTTTGGGCTGATTTTTACTCTGATTTCAAATTCTCTTTTCTTTGTCTCTCTAGAATGTTTTGATGATTAGGGACCATATTAGGGCTTTTTCACTTATATAAAGTATACCTTAAATATAACCCCTAAATCATTATAATTATTATAATTATCCCTATATTTTGTGTTTTTTGGGGGGCATTTTTTCTTGACTTCATTTCAACACATATTGACCTACAATTTTTACATATTTGAGTACAAATGCCAAACAATGTTTACTAAAACATACAATTAAATTAACGAATTAAAACTACCTTTATTCATTGTTGATAACTTCAACTTCAATTATCTCTGGAACTAGAGTTTCAACTTTTGAGTGGCTTCTAAAATTCCAGTTTTTGACCGATTCTCACTATTTTGACATATTGTGTCCTCAGCTGTTCTATAATCCCTTCAGAATGGATTTTTCATAAACTTTATACATTTGGAGTTATAATTTTTTTTTGGTCTAAATTTGCCGCATATTTCAAATGCCATAGTGACGATTTTCTTTACAGTAAACTATACTGAAAACCTATATTCTAATTTTATGAAATTTAAGATCATATTCTATTCTGAGAGAATAATAACATTAAATGAACAATTGGTGATGGTTCATATTTTGTATTCTGAATTGAAAATCTGAAATTTTCAATATTAAATTTTAAAATTAATTTTGATTCTCTTGTTTTTCAAGTTACGTTGTGATCATTTAGACAAAGTTGGAGCATTTGCCTAGTTGATTATACAAAAAAAAATTGGAAAGTGTTTGTGCAAGCTTTAAAAACTTATGTTAAATTATTTTGTCAAATCATATATGTATGTATTGCACTGTTGATGGGTTAAACCCATTTAAAAACTTTAGTAAAGTGGAAATGCACTAACAGTTAAAGTTAACATAAAGCTAACAAAAGCATAATAGGAAAGAAGTGTTTAAAAGATTTTAAATGACATCTTCTGCAATACAGTACTACATTTACACACTCCGCAGAATCCTCACAAACATGTACCACTGAGCAAAATACCTTATGGAGTACCTTGGTCATTTCACATGACTTGCCACTGATTTAATGCCAATCACCAAATTATAAATACATAACAAAACTATAAAGCATCTCTATATAGGGGAATAGCTAAATACTGCACACATCTAATATCAAAGAATGTCAGGCACTTCATACGTGTGTAATGTGATGGGCATCTTCGGGTGAGGAACCAACTGTTTCTGGCGGGTTTTGCAGCTTTTCTCCTCTTGCATCCCCTCCTTCGCTGCGGCACATCCACTCCTCCACAACCTAAAGTACAATCCAAGCAATTGATCGTTCATTTACAAATTATTGTATCATAATATTTTAAACAGCAACAAAATAATCTGCAACTAATTATTGACACTACCAATAAAATTATGTTCATTCATAAATTGTAAAGTACAAACACATTTACATTCATCATGACAATCATTACATTAGGTAATTTACCTAGTCAAATAATAACTTATTAATACTGTATCTGCACTAAAAGCAAACAAATAATTGCTGCAAAATAAGAATTATTATAAAATAATCAATCACAAAAAACCAGCATTAATTAAATGTAATGAAATGCCATTTTCTAGTTGAGCCCCAGAGGCTCCCTGGAGCTATTGGGCTAATATGTGATACATTAGACCAGGGCATTAGTCAATGCCGTTCAGCCTACCAAGGACCACGAGCCAGAACCTGGCCCCCTCAGAGAGGTGCAGGGAGCAATGGCCCTGGAAAACCTCCCAGTGGTTTGGGGTTTTCCTTATCTGCCACTGACCAGGGTTGGGCACCCGGAAAGGAAGACATAACAAAACAAACCCCCACATGGTACGAAAATTACAACTAAAACCCGAAAAGAGAGGCAGAAATCCCTCCAATCCCAAGGAAACAAGCAAACGTCTTATTCCACTGCCGCGTCACTCGTCTGCAAAGCCCTCCCACACTGGCTACCTTGCACTTCAGTTCAGAAGCTAAGCATCAAACAATGCAAAAAAACAAGCGTTGAATGTAATGAAACGCCATTTTCTGGGGAGCCGGCGGCTGAGCGGACAGAACACTGTACGTGTGATCCTGTGGTCCCGGGGTCGATCCCGGAGACCTGGTGAGAAACAATGGGCAGAGCTTCTTTCACCCTGATGACCCTGTTACCTAGCAGTAAATAGGTACCTGGGAGTTAGTCAGCTGTCATGGGCTGCTTCCTGGGGGTGGAGGCCTGGTCGAGGACCCGGCCGTGGTGACACTAATGCCCCGAAATCATCTCAAGATAACCTCAAGATAATCTTCTGGGTGAGACCCGGAGGCTCCCCAGAGCCTACTAGGCTGATATGCTAATGTCAGACTTTGGCAACAGTCATGTGTATGGAGTTCTTATGGGCCTTCCTACGTGTTTTGTCTCCTTCGTTTACCTTAGGGTAAGAGGCAGTTTTTGCACTGGTAAGGGGTGCAGGGTGCTGCACAGCTTGTGATTATCTATCACAGCGGCTGGCTCTGTTCCTTGGGGTACGTTGTCCTCTTGTGGGATTTTCTTTTTCTTTTGTTTTTTGCAAAAAAAAAAAAAAAAAAGATAAGTAAAGGTGGGACTTACCTGGGAGGCAGCAGCACCATGTGTCTCAAGATGAAGACAGGATAACTGGCTGCAACCGATGGCCCAAGGCCACACAAGACCGCCGAGGGCCCGGAACGTTAACGAGATAATGGGCGGCCAGGACCCAGTTCGAACGCCAAAACTCCCGTGCCCGAATGTCAGCCCAAGACATGTTCTCAAACACAGCAGCAAGAGCCGCAAACTTTCAAACATCATGGGCATGAGGGTAGACTGCAGGTTGGCTAGACTTCATAACCCTGCAGACAACCTGAGAGCCACGAGCCCTGGAACAGGGAATGAGGGATGTTGGATCAACCCAAAGCGCATCCCCAGATATATAACTGGAGGCGCTCAGGTAACGCCGTGAAGCCGAAACCGGACACAAAACGTGATGCATTCCCGGCCTGACCAACCAAGCATCAATAACCCACGGACCCCTCTGGAAGCCTGCTGTCTCATTCTTCGCTAGAAAAGATGGCGACGGCTGCCAACGAACAAAACATCTACCAAGACCAAAAGAGCAGAAACCCGTGCGCTGGAAGAGAGCACAAAGCTCTTAGACCTGAACCCCAGAGGCCAAAGCCAACAAAAACAAATCCTTAAGAAAACTATCTTGGACCAAAGGAGCCACAACAAATTGAGAGGTAGAGAGAAAAGAGAGCACCCAGTCTAATGACCAGGACGGTTCAGGCGGCGCATGAGCAGGCTGGAGGTGAAAAAATGCACGAGAAAGCTTACGGAACAGAGCAGAAGTGACATCCACCCCGAATGCAAGCTGGAGTAGCTCCACCAGCGCTGCATGATAAAGAGGCAACAGTATCCTGCATAAGATGTCAGTCCTGAAAGAGCCAAGAGGAGAAAGACTAAAGAACACAAAGAGAAACAGAAGGCAACCTACGAAGAGAAACAGAGTGGCGAAAAGAATGCCAAGAGACTTCATACTGTTGCCGAGAAGACCACAGGTGGGACACCATGAGAGAAGGCACCTGATCACCATACAAGAGGTGAAACACACTTGTCAGAAATACCAGATGCAAAGAGCGGAAGAGTAGATAAAACCAGCAAGGTACCTCACCGGCCCGATCTGCTGAAAGAGGCGGAGCCATGGAAAATGCCCAGGATTCGGACACCGAGCAAGCAGTGCCTGAAACCAAAGGTTGGGCTGGTCACCATGGGACCAGAAGGATTTCCAGATAGGACTCCAGCCGAGCTAAAACCCGAAGCAAACTGCTGGAGCAGGGGGAAAGAAGCACAGGTAACCCCTCCTCAAGAAGTCCTGCCGAAAAGCATCTACTGCAACAGCTTCGCAGTCGGGAAAGGGCGCCACATATATAGGGAGACGTCTTGACCACGCCAACGCGAAGAGGTCCTTCCACCTTCTGGGGCCCAAATGTCAGACAAAGCTAACTGAAGGAGTCAGTGTTGACCGTCTATTCTGTGAACAGAGGAATGAAACGAGACCAGCCGTCTGCCAAGACGTTGGACACGCCCCTGATGTGAACTGCATGGAGAGCTAAACTTAACCCCCCCCAACTAACAAGCGGGAGGGTTAGTTGGACAAAGATTTGCTTGTTTGTTTGTTTGTTTGCTTTCTGGGGAGTTCTTTTGTGCTTGTGAGGATGTAGATCGTACTTTTCAACCAGGCAGTGATCTATTTTTATTCACTTACCTTTCTGGGTGCCTACCCTGGTCAATGGTAAGATGACATACTTTAAATGTAAAGTGTTCATGGCCATTGCTCCCTTCGCCTCTCTGGGGGGGGGGGGGGGGGAAGGGCCAGGTTCTGGCTTGTGGTCCCAGGCAGGCTTACAAAGAACTCTGCGACTGATGACATTCAAACAGTATGGTACTACTTAATCAGTAAGATAACTTCAGGGAGCCAAGGGGCTACCCCACAGAAAATTATCATAGAGTATCACTTAATCTTATACTAACCACAGTAAAATGTTTTACTATCAATAAATATTAATATTAATTAAAGATTTTAACTAAAACATAATAAATAATTTCCCAAATTAATGATATAAATTTAATACAAATTTATTATACAGTAATAATATAATTAAATTACAAGGAAAGCAAATACCCTGTATGGTAATGCAGGGGAACACGATGCATATTCCAATTAGCATCATTACAACAACAAAGCACACTATTACCAACCTGCTGGGGATGAGCAGTGCTCACGTGGGAATCGTTGAAGATTAGATGATCATAGAGGGAGCTCTGAGAGTTGGCAACACTACGGCTACTGCCCTGGTTGTTGGCAAGGTTATGTTGTTGGGGAAAGTATTGGTAGTTATGTTGGGGAAATTGTGGCTGATACTGTTGTGGTTGAGGAAACCGGGGTCGAGGGTGGCTGCTCGAGTTCACTCCTGGTGTGGCCCGGGGTATGGCACCAGACAGCCCCACTTGACCACTTGGACTCAGGCTGAGGTTTTTAACATTGCGGTAGAGGGCCTGAAGGGTGGATGTGATAGGGAAATATTAGCAATGCTGTTGATGGATTGGGAGGTGATGAGTCATGGTTATTTTATTTAAAGATCCAAGAAACTGGCAACAAAATTTTAAACATTGCAGCATATGTGTTTTACTGAGGAAAAAACATACACACACTGAAGAAAAGTAAACTTTTTAGCACTAGAACCTGGCTCCTTCAGAGAGGTTTCAGGGAGCAATGGCCCTGAAAACCTCCCCCCCCCCCCCCCGTGGTTGAGGGTTTTCCTTATTTGCCATCGACTGGGGTTAGGCACCCAGAAATGTAGGCATAACAAAACAAACCCCACATGGTAAGAAACTAACAACAAAAACCAAACAGAGGTAGAACTCCGTGTAATCCCAAGATGGATGCGCAGACGGATGTGCGGCGTTTGTGGTGACGTCATACTGGTTTCCTTGGTTTTGATTGGGGAGTTCTGTTGCTAGTTTGGCTTTAGGTTTGCAATTATTTAATCAGCAGTAGTTTGTTTTGGAATTCCTACCTTTCTGGGTGCCTGACCTGGTAGATGGCAGACAAAGACTGCTTTCAATTACACGGGGGTGTCTTTAGGCCATTGCTCCTCATGCCTCTCTTGAGGGGGTCAGGTTCTGGCTCTGGTCTCCAGTAGGCCTTGAACTCCTTCGATTGACTGTTGCCACGGTCTAATATATACACATCAGCCCGGTATAGCTCCAGGGAGCCGAAGGGGCTCTCCACAGAAAAAGGGATGCTAATTAACTGAATGATAATGACTTATTGAAGGATTTTATAATAAAATATTAATGTATCTAGAACCTTGCCTATCTGAAATTTTGATGAAAGTTTTTCCTTAATAAGATACCATGGCAGCCTATAAAATTGATCGCCACAGCTCAACATAAAACCCTCTTTATGTGGATGACATGGTATTGCTACACAAAATTCTTTGATGGTATGCCACAAAGCAACTTGATTGAAGCATTAATAACTTATTGTCCTTACCCTGCTGTCCTCATCTTCGGATGTTAGGCCACTGTCACTGACCTCTGAACCTGAGAGACCCACAACACTCACATTTTCCTGCAAATAATGAAGGTTCATTAAAAATCTAAAATGCAATAAAATAGATCATATCTAGGTGCTATCAATGTAACACTTTAAGTATACCCAGCACAATGGGAATTTTAGGCACTGAATGACTTTCCTTGCTCACTGTGCCATGCTCTAGTGCCTTGGTGGTGAACAGTGTGTTTGATAGAGATCCAGATCAATGGTTCAAGGCAACATCAAACCCAGACCATGGTGGCATGACTGGGACAAACTCTCAGCTAAAAGTCTATAGAGAGCTACAGACCCAGGAACCAATCCCAAGAACCAAAGAAGAAATGAGTAAACCCCTTCCTCGGCCGCAGGCAAGGCATAAATGATAATACCAATGCTAAATGACTATCAAGTGCAATGAAAAACAATCACCATCAATCACCCATGAAGCAGAAATTAGAGAAGCAATTAGGAAAGAACTGGTTACCAACAGTAAATTAGTACAAAACACTGCAGACAGAAGTCCATAATAATTTTTGAGTGTTTAGAAAAGGAAATATTATCTAGCGTTATCTCGAGATGATTTCGGGGCTTGACATCCCTGTGGCCTGATCCTCGACCAGGCCTCCTTTTTGTTACACACCCCTAGGAAGCAGCCCGTAGCAGCTGTCTAACTCCCAGGTACCTATTTACTCCTAGGTGAACAGGGCATCAGGGTGAAAAACCTCTGCCCATTTGTTTCCAAATCCACCAGAGATCGAACCCGGGCCCTTAGAACTACGAATCCTGAGCGCTGTCCACTCAGCTGTCAAGCCCCTGATGGGTGGTTATTAAGGGTGGACAGAGTTGCAGAATAGTTGAAAATCATTGAGAAAATAGTAGGTTTAGGAGAAGGCCTCAATCCAAAAGTAAATGTCAGTGATTTTAGTTGAAGTTTAGTTTAGAAGATTTTAAGAAGTTGACTTAATGGCACTGCAGGTCTGGAATCATGATGATAAAACTGATAATCGTAAATGCCTACAACCCACCAGCAAGCAACGCATGGACAAAGGAGAAACTAGATGAAAAATGAGAGGGCCTCATAGTGGTCATGAGAGATTATAGTAAAAGTAGATAAAGATAAATCCCAATTGTTGGTACTGGGGTACTTCAACTTAAAAGCAACAGAATAGGAGGCCTACGAGGCAAGAATGGAGGACACTTGGACAGGCAGATTTATAAACTTCATTCTGGAGACATTCATGTATCAACACATCAAGCAGGTCACAAGAATGAGGGAAGGGGATGTTCCAGCAATAATGGATCTAATATTCACCAGGATAGAAGAAGAGATATTTCACATCCAGTACCTTCCTCTCTTGGGCCTGATCTGCTGAAAGAGGCAGAGCCGCGGGGAAGACCCCCCCCTTGGGGTTCGGACACCGAGTAAGCAGCACCTGAAATCAAGGCTGGGCCGGCCACCAAGGGGCCAACAAGACTACTTTCCCTTGGTAGATCTCCAAGCGAGCATGGACCTGGAACAACAGTGGAACTATGGGGAAGAGGTACAGGTAACCCCCTCCCCCCCCTTGACCAGTCCTGCCTAAAGGCATTGACTCCGATGGCCTCGCAGTTGGGGAAGGGCTCAACATATAACGGGAGCTGCCTCGATCACGCTGATGCAGAGGTCCACCTCCAGGAGCCCATGCATCTGGAAGAGCCGACTGAATGAGTCGGAGTCGACCGTCCATTCCGTGGACAAGGAAATGAACCGTGACAGGCCATCCACCAGGACGTTGGACACCCCCCATATATGAACGGCCAGGAGAGCCAAACCTCGAGAACTCAGCAGCCGTGTCACCCGAAGTGACCAGCTCTAAAGAGCCAAGGACCGCATCGAACCCCTGCAGTTCAGGCAATGAACAACTGGGAAGCAATTCAAATGGAGCTGGATCGCAAGTGACCCGAATCCTTTGGAGCGACAGCCACACAGCCGTGAATTCCCGCACCGTGCTGTGGGCCAGACAGAAGGACGAACCCCACCGCCCCTGGCTGGCCTGGTAAGCAACTGGTCACAAAGCCCCTGCCAAGAGACGACGTGTCCGTGAACATATCGAGCAAGGTCTCGGGTAGGCACTAAACCCCGAAAAACCCGAAGAGGAAGCCGGCGACGCAGTAGCCGACATAAGCTTTGTCTTGGGTTCATATCCTGGCCTGGGAGGATTTACTGGGCATCAATCCTTAACTGTGGCCTCTGTTTACCTAACAGTAAAATGGGTACCTGATTGTTATACAATTTGGTGGGTCGTATTCCGTGGAACGTAGGATTAAGGACTTGCCCAAAACGCTATGCGTGCTAGTGGCTGTACAAGAATGTAAGAACTCTTGTACTTGTACTGTATATATAAATAAATAAATAAATAAATAAATATATATTTTCAAATATTGTACTCAAAAGATCATGAAATGGGGTGTCATGACCCACTGGTTGGGAACCAGGAACCTACTGTATTACATCTGTTCTGCAGGCATTGCCCATGAAATCTGCTCTTAGTTTAATAAATTAATTGCTTTAGAAGACAATCCTCCTGCCCCATCTCATGCCTAATCTAAATCTTGCTAGCAACTATACATACTACTATATAAATGCATACTATTAGGACATAGAGCACTGCATTCTATATCAGTTGTTACAGTTACCTCCTGCATAGCAGTAGTTGTTACCTGTTCCTTTACCGCATACATATCAGCATGCTCCAACATCAAGATTCAACATCAACAACAATAATACATACCAAAACATATTGTCTAGACACACCTCCTCCCCCCTCCACCCTACAGTACCTGAGACACCTGCACCGGCTGTCTTGCCAATTGGCCAGACGCCACTACCTAACTACCTCTCTCGCTCCTTTAACTGCCGGCTTATTGTTTCGAACTCCAGTATTCGTGCCAAATATGACGTCACAGCTCATATAAGAAGCCCTGTCAGCATCCAGAGCGTCAGACTATTCTTCTAGTGCTCATTGCTGCCGCAGCTACTCTCACCTCCGGGTGACAGTAGACGCATATAGCAATTTTGTATAAAGCATTACCTTCACCTTTGTTATTAACGTAAATTTTACATGTGTATATTTCTCTTTTGATTGTGTTTAAGCCAAGTGGATAAGGGGTTTGGTTTTCATTAACTGTTACTTGTCAGTTTGTGTAAAATTAAGGTTGGTTGGTTGATACCTGGTTGATGGGGTTCTGGGAGTTCTTCTACTCCCCAAGCCCGGCCCGAGGCCAGGCTTGACTTGTGAGAGTTTGGTCCACTAGGCTGTTGCTTGGAGCGGCCCGCAGGCCCACATACCCACCACAGCCTGGTTGGTCGGGCACTCCTTGGAGGAATAAATCTAGTTTCCTCTTGAAGATGTCCACGGTTGCTCCGGCAATATTTCTTATGCTTGCTGGGAGGGTGTTGAACAACCGTGGACCTCTGATGTTTATACAGTGTTCTCTGATTGTGCCTATGGCACCTCTGCTCTTCACTGGTTCTATTCTGCATTTTCTTCCATATCGTTCACTCCAGTACATTGTTATTTTACTGTGTAGATTTGGTACTTGGCCCTCCAGTATCTTCCAGGTGTATATTATTTGATATCTCTCTCGTCTCTTTTCTAGTGAGTACATTTGGAGAGCTTTGAGACGATCCCAATAATTTAGGCGCTTTATCGCGTCTATACGTGCCGTATATGTTCTCTGTATTCCCTCTATTTCAGCAATCTCTCCTGCTCTGAAGGGGGAAGTGAGTACTGAGCAGTACTCAAGACGGGACAACACAAGAGACTTGAAGAGTACAACCATTGTGATGGGGTCCCTGGATTTGAAAGTTCTCGTAATCCATCCTATCATTTTTCTGGCTGTCGCAATATTTGCTTGGTTATGCTCCCTAAACGTTAGGTCGTCAGACATCATTATTCCCAAATCCTTTACATGTTGTTTTCCTACTATGGGTACATTTGATTGTGTTTTATACCCTGTATTATGTTTAAGGTCCCCATTTTTACCGTACCTGAGTACCTGGAATTTATCACTGTTAAACATCATGTTATTTTCTGATGCCCAGTCAAAAACTTTATTAATATCAGCTTGAAGTTTTTCAATGTCTTCAGCCGAGGTAATTTTCATACTGATTTTTGTGTCATCTGCAAAGGATGATATGAAGCTGTGACTTGTATTTTTGTCTATATCTGATATGAGAATAAGGAAAAGCAGCAGTGCAAGGACTGTACCCTGAGGTACAGAGCTTTTAACTGCACTTGGACTAGATTTTATATGGTTGACCGTTACTCGCTGAGTCCTGTTTGACAGAAAACTGAGTATCCAGCGTCCTACTTTACCGGTTATTCCCATTGACTTCATTTTGTGTGCTATCACGCCATGGTCACATTTATTGAAAGCCTTTGCGAAGTCCGTGTATATCACATCAGCATTCTGTTTTTCCTCTAATGCCTCAGTGACTTTGTCGTAATGCTCAAGTAGCTGTGAGAGGCACGATCTTCTCGCTTGAAATGTTTAAAGTTTTTATTCTCTTGTTTTTACCCACAGCTCTCACACTGTAAAAATACCAAGCCGTTTTTTTACTTTGTTTTTTGTTTTTTTATTAATGTGAGATTGGCACAACACCTGCCAGAATAGTTACTGCTCTATTCCAGATTCTTATCACACAGTGCATACAGTGTATCTGAGAAGTGCGAAAGTGTGTGATAATGATGCATTACCTGGGGCAAAATATTATGAGGACGAGAAGGAGAGGTCTGTTGATGCCATGAAGAATCTCGCAATGGAGCCGGTAAAGACAAGCTGTTTGTCTCATTGTTACTGCTTGGTCTATTGGCATTCACCCTGAGAAATGACAACTACATTAAACTTTTTGTCCTGAACAAACTGCACATCATATTAAAACCTAAATACAGTATTTCTAATTATATATAGACATCTTAGAATCAAAATTTGATGAACTGCCACCAATGCAACAACTGTATAAACATTAGTAAAAGCTTAGAAAAATAACAGCAATCCACAAATTTAAGGTTTGGCAAACCAATAAAAATTAATAAATGTATTTACCTGTCATCAACAATATTAGCACAATCTAGGCTAGGTTGCTGCAGTTTATAAAGAGGGATTAAATGCTTTGTATATGACATGGCAAGAGGAGAACTGCACATCTAATATTATGAGGCAGTGGTGTGCTGCTTCAGATGACTTTCTGGAGTGTAGCTTTGCTGGTTCTAAGTGATGTTATGTTGTGTATGAGACATGGTGAATGAACAGGTATAACTTTAATTACCTTTAGCTTTCCTTTCCTATAGTGCATTTTCTTTGTGGACATAAGCCTTCCCCCACTCCATGAAATTGGTTATCATCATAGATAAATATTCTTGACAGCATACAATATTTTGAATCGGTCTCAAATTTTATGCCTGCTGTCATCACACGTTTGTTTTGTTTATAAGAGTACACAAGGGTAACTGTAACTCATGTCTTTTGTACATGATATTCAGAGTGACTAATAAATTCCAAAGAAAGTAGAGCAAGGGGGACTAAATGCACAGGAGTGTTCAAAGTTATGCATGTAGAGGAATGATTTCAAGAACTAAGAGAATTGTCACACTACTGAACAGTGAGAAATGATTGTAGTGGATGCAGATACTGTGTATAGATAAAAATAAAACAGGGCATTTAGAGTCACCCATGATTGGATCCATGTGGCTGTGCTGCCAGATCCTGAAGTAAAGCCACCGCCACATGCTGGTCAGTGTGCACAGTGATCTGTGAGGCATGACGGAAAAGTTGAAGCAGAAACTCTGGCTGGTTGGCATGACGACGCATCAAAGCTTCTGCTTCTCTTAAGACCTCCAGAGTCAAGGCACCAGCACCATCACTAAAAAGAAGAATAGAATATTTCATCAAGCTTAATACACTGTAATTTCTCACCATAAATTTCATTATAAATAATTTTTGACTATTATTATTTAAACATGACATCAACAGGGTAACATCTAGAGCATTGGGAAGTTGGCAAATATCATGATGGCATTTGCAACCATAAATACAGGTTCATTCAAGACAATCTATATGGCTTATATAAGATCCATACTAGAATATGAAACACTAGCCTGGAATTCACACCTTGTGAAGCACAAAACCAAAACTGGGAGGTAGAGAGAATAGCAATGAGGTTACTGTCAGAATTAAGAGGGCTGAGCTATAAAATTAGGTTAGGAAACAATATCAACCAATGAAGAGAGAAAGGTAGTACAGTTGAGTTGGTACTCGACACAAAATCTGAATTCCTGCTTCAAATCCTGGATGGGACAGAAATGGTTGGGCACATTTCCTATCACCTAATGTGCCTGTTCACCTTGCAGTAATTAGGTAACCAGGAGTCAGTCAGCTCTTGTTGTGAGGATGCCTCTTGTGGGGGAAGGAAGGGGATAGGCATGTGACCTTGTGGGGGATCTCAATATAGGCCTAACATGTAAACATACACTGCCTGTCCCTAATATATTATTATTATTATTATTATTATTAATACATACATACTGAGAGGGAATAGACTAGGTGGACAAGGATAGCGTTTTATATCGTGAGAAGGTAGAACACAAGCACATAGATTGAAAGAGGAAAAAGAGTCAGAGAGAGATTTAAGAAAATACTGGTATACTGTACAGAAGGTCAATAATCTATCTTAGTGACAGACACCAATGTGTAGCCATCAATGATACAACCTCTCCCACTCTACCAATAACCTTTGGAGTGCCACAGGGCAGCATCTTAGGACCTCTCCTATTTTTTATATACATCAATGATCTGCTAAACATCTCTAACATTCTTAAACCTATATTGTTTGCTGATGATACCACCCTCATCTACTCAAACCCCAACCCACATACACTAAATAATGTTGTTAATAATTAGCTAAAAAAGAGTCCACCTATGGATGTCAACCAACAAACTAACACTTAACATAGAAAAGACCTACTACATCTTATTTGGAAGCAAATCAACAAATGCAATTCAGCTTCAGATAGACAATGTTAACATTAGTAATAAAAATGATGGAAAGTTTCTTGGCCTATTCCTAGACAAGAGACTCAACTTCAGCACCCACATACAACACATAACTAAGAAAGTCTCTAAAACCATTGGTATACTCTCCAAAATCTGATATTATGTACCTAACTCTGCTCTTGTCTCACTATATTATGCACTAATCTATCCCTATCTTAATTATGGTATCTGTGCATGGGGTTCAACCACTGCAAACCATCTCAAGTCCATCATCAAACAGCAAAAATCTGCTATCAGAATAATAACTTCTGCTTTCAGACAACACTCAGCCCCTTGTTCAACTCCCTAAACATGCTAAACATAATCTCACTCCACACATTCTCTTGTGTTGACTACATTTACAAAATCCTGTTCTTAAATGCAAATCCTGCTCTGAAACTCTCCCTGGACAGATGTAATAGGACCCATTATCACCATACCAGAAATAAATCTCTCTTTGATATCCCAAGAGTCAAACTTAATCTGTGTAAATACTATGCAAATAAAGGGACCTAGTCTATGGAACTCACTCCCTAATGAATTGAAAAGCTGTCCAACTTTTGTGTGTCATTCAAAAACAAGACTAACAAGTACCTAATTTCATCTTCATAGTTTTCTACTGTGTTGCTTTGAAATTGCACTGTATCTAGTGCTACCCAATCCAAATAACTTTACCATTGTGATCATTGCTGTTTTCTTATGTGCTATCAATTTGTTGTATGGTGCCTATTAATCTTTGTTTAAATTACCAATCAAGCTGTCAATGCATTCAATTAGAGCTTTAATATACCAATGTGCTTTAATATACCTACTAATCTCTCTCATCTCATTTTTTCCTTGCAATGTATCTTTTATCATTTCATTAATTCTGCTAGAATTTACCTACTTAAAATTATTTGTTAGACTAAGGACCTGCCTGAAATGCTGCACGTATTAGTGGCTTTACAAGATTGTAAATACCATGCTATGTATCCTCACAAACCCAATGTACCTTCTTGTATATAAATAAAAAATAAATAAATAAATAAATAAAATAAATAAATCAGTGAAATGCACCGAAAGATGAAGTCATGGCAGCCACCTCCATCAACCGCTCCAATTACTTGAGAGCGATTGGCCCATATGATCAAATTGCCTGGAGATGATTTAAGGTGCCCCATTTTATTCAAAAGCCCCACCCCATTCCACGGAAACACCTTTTAACACTAGAGACCTCTGTCAATCGTTTGCAATACTGTATTTCAAAAAAATCCTGAGTCCCTAGTGGGCCACGTCCCTTTTCCAGAGTCTTCGTAAAAAGATGTGGGGCCATGTCTGGGGCATTCACTTCAGGGATGAAAAACAGCAAAAGGAATGCCAATTTCCTTTCGGGATTGCCTGCCATCCAAAATATATACAGCAAAATATAGTGCCAAAATATACGGGGTTGCCTGCCAGCCAGGAAGCAGGGAAGTTATACTGCAACCAGTGAAATAACTTGGCCAAAACAGTCTCAAAATACAGGAAATCTTCAAAAGTACTACCAATATGCAAGTTCGATTCATGCGAAATTTAGCCCCTTGCGTGACCCCCATAGCCTCAGGGAAGAGAGCCACTGATGGCTTTTGGTCTTCACAATCAACACCAGAGAATGGAATCACTATGAAATAGTGTCAAAGTGGACAGAAAATTCAGACACACACAAGTAGAATAAACACCACAATAGAAATAATCTGTTCAGTGTCAGTAGTGAACAAATGAAATGCACTAATAAGTAAAGTGGTAGAAGCAACTCCCTATACAGTTTCAAATGTAGATATGATAGAGCCTAATAGGTTTGGAAACCCGTATACTAGGTGCTTGAAAGTTAAAAGGTAGGACCAAAGACTAAAGCACAACCCAAGCAAGCATAATTAGTTAAATACAATTTATTATTCCGAGGAAGTTACTGAGAGGACCTTGTTAAAAAAACAATAATTATCATTAAAAATAGGAAAAATCTGCATGACACCAGATGTAATGGCATGTCATATTAGGTAAGTCTCAATTAATACTTTCGATCGTGAGTACACAATCTTTGTTATAGAGAGGTCCACAGTTTGGAGGACATACTGTATATGATTACTATGAATGCAAATTATATATAAATAATCCAAGATACATATGCTTTATGCAGAAAATGCTTTCATATGCTTCCCCCTAACAGAAGGAATACAGTCACTAGTAATGATCAGTTATGCACAAAATTCACAAGTACTCTCTCACAAACATTAATTGATCAAATAAAATCCTACTCCTTAGCTATACTCCTCTAGACTATCATACAAATGGAATAAGAGAGACATACCTATCAGTACTATTGCCACGCACAAAGTTGTAATTAACAGAGCTACGATCTCTAGAATTTCCAGCAGAACCTGCACTTAGTGGAGCATTTGAACCAGGCACATTGACTCCAGAACTTGGCATCCACCACCCACCTGGAAATGAAAATCACTATGTATATTTTACCACAAATTTTGTTATAGTTTAACTTACATTTCCACTGACTTCTGATGACTAATTTTACCTATAATCTTTAATATTTATCTACTTTCCTGGTGAGTTTCCATTAGTACTGCGGTGATCTTGTATACCTAGACTCTCATATGCCTCTATTAAGGGGGGGCAACTTCTGGTCCCTGTCTTCAGTACGAGCTTGCAATTTAGTAAAGCCTTGTTTGGTACCTAAGATTTGGAAGCTTCCAGGTGGATAACTAAGTGAGACAGAATGAAATATTTTATTACATTCAACACTTGGATTTCTGGAGGCCTTTGTGTCTTGGGTCGATCTCAGATCCCCCCCACACACCCTTTGGCTTTATAAGCACAGCAGATTCTGGTCCTTGTGTTCAGGTAGGCCTGTGCACATCCAGAAGTCTGGTGGGTTTGTGGCTGCAGTTGTGCTATCTGAGCAAAGGCAGAGAAGCCACTAAGGTAGCCAGGAAAAAGGCATTCCATTGTGTTCAACAATTGACTGATTAAATGCCTAGGAGCCTTTAAACTAACCCTGATTTGCAGTGGATAAATGTTTTTTAATTCTGTAATGTTACTCTTGATAAATATCAGGAGAAGGAAGTACAGTACTGCCATTGAATAAGTATGGCAAACTAGTCTATTACTAAAACTAACAGTTTTATTTAACTTCATACATCAATAACAAAAATTTCCCATGCTTAACAATAATTGATTTTTTTCAACAAACATCAACACTATCATGTGACAGTGATAACCAACTAGCTTTAAATATAATCTGAATACCTAAGTTTTCTTTAAAATGTCAAATAAAACTAAGTAAAGAGTAACCCAAATAGAAAGCAGAATACCAACTTTGTTTATTTCGATTATTTGTCTTGTGTTTGTTCTGGCCATGGACTTGTTGAGAGTTTGAGGAAACTGGATTTCTGACCCTGGGGTTGGCTCCCCTGGGGTTATTGATGTGAGGGTTGGTCACCCGGGCCCGTGCACCAGCCCCACTACTGCTATTGTTGTTGTGGCTCACTGCAACATTGAACCGCTTATCCTCTATGCGACTGCCATCCCTAGACTGCAAAGCAATAAAATAAACAAACAAGCTTAAAAGAATATAAAGGTATAAAGATTAGCAAGCACAACTATAATTATTTTCTTTTACTTTAACCACCGTGCTGCGCGGAGTTTATTGAGAAATTTCCCCGGTGCGCATGAAATAAAGTGTTCCCCAAAAATTATTTTTTCTTCGTAAAATGATAAATTCCCTTCTCTGAACATGTCTATGTAAAAATAAATACCAAATTCCACTTACTTTGGCTGTGGGGACGTGGACAAGGTGCACTGTGACATCATCAGGGCCTGGGGCCAGATTCAGGAAGGTACTTACAAAGGTTTTTCTTCTTAGCTACGAATGTTTTCCTTCTTAGCGCCTTCGTGGCGGCTACATCGATATTCAGGTAGCTACACTAAGTGGAAAAACCTTCGTAAGTTCATTCCGGGATCTAAGTGTGGTTTCGACCACTCGTAGCTTTACGTAAACTGGATATAACTCAATTTTTCTCTACTACATAACACTGGGATCGATTTTAAGATTTTGGAACAAACAAAAGATTATAAAATTTGAATCTAGTGAAGAGGAGTCCTTCGTGTTAGTTATATATGCATTCTCTGCTTGAAACTTAAAGTAAATATGTCTTTTATGATAGTAGAATTAGTTTTATAATAGCAAGATATTATACCCGTAGTTATTAAGTAAATAAACACTGGTGAACATGAAATATGAGAGAAGGTGATGAGCCCTGCCTGATGGGATCATTTACTATCACCAAATGCCCCTGTTCACCTAGTAGTAAGAGTGTACCTTAGCTATACATACCCATTTCTAATTTATTTAGTTTGGTTTTATTTTGAAATTTAATCTGGGTGAGACAAAATAAAAATATGCTGCACAAATGATGTTAGGTAAGGAGAAGGGTAAAAATGTCAAAAACTTTATTCAATGAATACTTAAAGCTATAATTATGACTATATAGACTATTAAAAAAGAGAGAGGGAAGTAGGGGTCCAAAACCTCTTCCTGTTGTACAATTTGGGTGTGGAACAAGTAATTATCACAAGAAAGCACCATGCTGGGAAGGTTATGTAGCAGTAAGGCAGTGAGGTGAGGCAGCTACTTATTTGAGGAATGCTTATTTTATTTACCTTATAAGCTGAGGCAACTTATTTTATTTGAGGATTACTCAGCTGATTCCTTTACATTTAGCATGGAACAAATTTGTGTCCAAGACCTCTTCCTGTTACACAATTTGGCTGTGTGTAACCAAACTAGAAGTGCTCTACAAATCAAGGGACCCAGAATGTGGAATGACCTCCTGAATCATGTCAAAGGCTGTACCTCTCTCAACCAGTTTAAAAGTTAAACCAAGTACTGCCTAATTAACTCCATGTAACCTAACTTAATCCCTAAATGTCAACCCATGTCTTGCTATTTTTTGAACAATGCTGTTCACCAACATGTGCAATTGCTGATTTATGCTATGTTAACCCCCCCTTTTTGTATTTTTTATTCCTTCTTTCAACACAATTTATACCTAATCCCGATTACTATTAAGTTTTAGTCTAAGTGTTTTTCCCCCCACACCTTGCCCGAAATGCTATGAGTATTAGTGGCTTTAGGTATTGTATGTACTAACTCTGTCTATAAATCCAACATTATGTTTGTAAATCAACTGTATGTACTTTTCCTGAGTAAAATGTATTTATTATTTATTTTTTAATCAGTAAGTATTAAAAGAAGGCACCAAGCTGGGAAGGCTATGTAGCACCATTGTGTGTAACAATAAACCAATTTTTTTTTTAACAAATAATGCACCTGTATGGTAAAACAAATCCTGTCAGCTGTAAAAATATTGATGCAGTTATTTAAATAAAAAATATAATGAAAGAAATATTACTGGTTTATTTTTATCCTATCTTTTTGTACTGTACAGTATATCTAATGAAGTGAAAAATTGAGACATAATGCACAATTTAATGAATGATTAGCATGGATTAGCAGTTCAAAAGAAATATTACTATTACATATCAACATGAGATCTTAATGATCCATGGTCAACATGATTTAATAAGGATAATACAGTACTGTATTTGTAATAATACAAACTATAATTTAAAATCTTTATTACTGATTTTTTTTATTAAGAAGATTAGGTATACACAGCAATGTGCTGCTACCCTATTCTATATGGAATATTACACAGTGTAGATAAAAAACTAGCTATAAGTTTATCTAATACTGTACTCCCATCTCACAGGATGGTTAGACATACATGGAATCAATTTAGAAAATACCAGCCTCAATACAAAAAACAAATCAACTCTGACTAAACAACTGTTCGCAATTTTCACAAGAGGTAAGCACTGAATCATGGAAACATTATATTATAATTACTCTTACCAGTTTCTACAAGACTCCTCTCAAACAATGTATTTTTTAACATGTTTAGGTATGCACAGCAATGTGCTGCTTCCCTATTCTGTATAAAGGACCACACAGTGTAGATCAAAAACCAGCTACAAGCTCATCCAACATCCTCACCTCACAGGATGGCCAGTCATACATGGAATTAGGAGAGAACAAAATACTTAATGCTGATCTATTAGCCTCCACTGGCAAAATCTGGGTGCAGCACAAGAATATCTTCCAATATTCCTGAGTGTATGAAGTAATTACAGAGCTCAAAATACCTCATACCATTTGGTATGAAGTCACTGATAACAGAGCAATCACAGATATAGTGTTGGAGAGTATGTTCTCTCAAGTAGGACTGAAAACAAATGTTTTTTCCACCAAGAGGGTTATAAACCCATGGAACCGCCTACCCGCTGAAGCCGTAAATGCCAAATTCCAGCTAAAAAATATCATTAAGACAATTGGCGGGCCCTTTAACAAGCCGCCGGCTTTTTGTCCTCATCGAGGCCACTAGATAGTTAGTGGCCCTTGGGTAAATTCAGTAAATATATACAATAATTGTCAGCGCATCTTCCGAGCAACAAGGACAGCTACACAGTATCTCTTAGAATTACGTAGATAAACAACAAATGTAACATATTTGTTTACTACAATGTTTGTGCTGCCTGTAGAAGTTGAAAAAAACAGTTTTACTTCGAAATATACTAATTTTATAAGAAAATTCGACGTAAATAGGAGGCAGTAGAGCTCCGATAAGCCAGTGCTAAATCTTCAATATGAAGAATGTTGCTGCTCTCTGATTGGCCAAACGAAACGCAGTAGTGACCTCTATCGGCACGCAGGTGAACCAACAAATATCTTCCTAAGTGGACATACTTGAATTGCAACTAAGCATCTTCTTAGGGCACACTTAGGAACCTTCGTAGCAAACCTACTTACAAAGAAATACATGGAGCATCCTGAATCTAGGTCCTGGTCGCCCGTGCGTGAATCACCCAGACACGGTCGCGCGGGCCATTTAAGCACTGGGTGTTGCCACAAATACATTTTCAATTATTTGTTTTATGTATTTCCAATGCAGTTTTATTTGTTTTTTATCGTATATGATGCATATTTGTGTCCTTTACAATATGTATACAGTAGAATGTTCATAATGTTCCATGGAACTGTGATACATGTGTCAGTAATGTGTTCACAATGTTTACTGTCGCAATATTACCTGTTAAAAATTCACTAAAATTACAATATGTACAGTTTCATACACTATTTACACAGTAACACACTGTATTACACACTCAGTACTTCGGAAATGAGTAATAATCAATGAAATAGCCCATGGTACACAGCGCGACTTCGCTCTCAGTGCACCAGGTACAGATAAATTTTAGCTTCCTGTTTCCCCTTTCCTCCTTTCAGGGTAGGGGGGAGGGGGGGGTTGCAAAGACAGCGGCACGGTGGTGGGATGACGTCATGCTCCTTTGCTAATTTTCGTTTGGGGAGTTCTGTCCACTCATTCGGCTTTCAGTAGCAATTTTTCACCAGAACAGGGGTTTGTTTTTGGGACGCCTACCTTTCTGGGTGGCAGACCTGGTCGATGACAGTCAGAGAATGCTCCCAACCACATGGGGGTTTCTATAGGCCATTGCTCCTCGTGCCTCACTGAGTTCTGGCCATGGTCCCCGGTAGGCAAGAACTCCATGCACATTGACTGATGCCAGAAAGTTATATATATCCATATCAGCCTGGATTGCTCCGGGGAGCCTCCGGGACTCACCCTGTAAATGGCATTTCATTGCATTCAACACTTTTCTTTCAGTTTCCCGTGATCAGGGAATGCTTTTTATGAATATTCGATAGAAAAATATTTGGGGGAAATAATTTGTTTACGCACATCACAAAGTTGACAAAATAAACAGCCGACAGTACAGTGGTTAAGAATGTGTTTTCTTCACACCATTTATAACTTGGACTCGAAAGTGTATTTTACCTGGTGGAGACCAGTAGTACCACTGTGTGTTGCAGCAGAGGTGGAAGCAGTTTGTGCTGGGTGGTGGTCACTAGTATTGCTTTTAGTTGCCGTTGAGAGAAGGTTTTGCCGAGAATAACTGCGGAAATTGTCCCAGTAGTTGTTGGCTCGAGTTCCAGGAGGAACCTAAGGGAAAGTCAGTCAGTCAAATCATCAATGATTCCACCTAAGCAACTGAGCAAAGTTCTCTTCAAATACAAACACATTCAAGAAAGACACAGGTGGGCTAAAAACAAAAATACCTCATCAAATTTAAAAACCTGACAAGTTATGACAATAACATGATGCTTACATGAAAGTGCTCATACATTTTCTTACATATCCTCACAGTGGATATCATCAACAAATACCATAAATATTAACCTGGTTATTGAGAAGGTCTGTAGTCTGATGATGAAGTGGATGTGCAGATGGTAATGTTGCCCAGTGATGGTCATCTGGAGGCTGGGACTGAGGCCTCTCCTCACTCATACGATCTAAGTGAAGGAGGGGATGTGATGGGCTGCTGTCTACAATCCCTGCTACTCCCAACATGGAGGCCAGTTGCTCTGAGGGAGGTTCAGTACCAGGTGTTGGAGCATGTGAGCCCCATGTTCCTGGGTGTTCCCTTATATCTCCTAAACGACCATATATTGGGTTTGTGACCCCTGTTGAGTGACTTTCCCCTTCACCAGACTGACCAAGGAACAGAGGAAAAGAAAGGCTCTGTGGCACTCGGGATACACTCTCCTTTCCATCCCGTGTAAGCGAGGCAGCAAGAAGATTGTGATGCAGTGGATATGATGGACGACTTCCAGCTGTTACATCCTCCTCATCATCATCATCATCTTCATCTTCCTCCTCCTCCTCTTCGCTCCGTCTTGTTCCTGCCCTGGCTCCTCTTCTGTCTACTCGTCCATTCCCAGAATCAGGCACTGGAATCGAGTCCACTTGTTCCCTTCTATCAAGAAGCTAGATGAAAATATACATCTCATCAGAAAACAAATTTTTTTATTTTGTAGCAAGTTATTATTACGTATCATACCATACAGTATTTTCATAATGTAACAAAAGCCTTTCCTTATAAAGCTACACATTTTAAATTACCAAATGCTGACTATGTTTGTTAATCCAAATTATATGGGGCCCATCCCACTTCAAGTTAGTCAAACTTGCAAGTGAGCCAAATTTTACCAGGAAAGTTGAAAAAAAAAACAGCGTTGAATGTAATGAAATACCATTTTCTGGGCGAGCCCCCTGGAGGCTCCCCGAAGCCTGCAGGTCTCCACACAGCCCCGTGGAGCTAATCTTTGTAAATTCCAGCTTGGGTGAAGATGAAACTAAGTCCATGCAAGAAATAAAGTTTGTAAACATATGCACAGAAAGCAATTACTGAAGGTTAAGAACAGCACACAAGTAAATGGCCCCTCACAGGACTGAGTCCAAAGAAAGGCCTACACTTATCACTGACAAGAAGTGGGACCCACCATGGCCTGGGGATTCAGGAAGGTCAGCTTTCTCAGATATCAGCAATAAGACTAACTCGATGCTGGTTCGCAGGGTGCCACCTCTTGGCGTTTTTTTGCACTAGGGGGTTTGAGCTCAAATCAAGTGAATCAACTGGAATTAGGCAAATCATTTGCCAAGTCATTTGGCCGTTTCAGTGCACCTTGTAGTTGTCTGTATTGTTTCATTAACTTTCTGGAGGACTTCTCAGTGTGGGTGATCATAACAGTCCCCTGCTAGCTATGCCTTTGTGAGTGTGTGTGTGTATTTGGGGGGGGGGGAGGCTGACCAGGTTCTGGCTCTTAGTTTCCAGTTTGCCATACAGGACTCCTCTGGCTGATGTGACTTGATAGGGAGAAGCCATCTCAGAGATGGCATCCCCCTATTGGTTCTCGATGGCTCCCTTCCTTAGTACTTGTCCGGCTGCCAGGGCAGCCAGACAAGTACTAAGGAAGGGAGCCCACTGGCAGACTCATACAACACGGCTGGAGGAAGAGGCTCGAATGCCCCCGTCGCTACCCTGGAAGGGGAAATCCTTGAGACCACCCGAGTCTCAAGACCAATACAGGGGAAAAACAAGTCGGCGCGGAAGGAAACAAAACTGAAGCAACCAACACCCCCAAGCCCCGTCACACCAACCAAAACAGGGCAGCCTCGGGGCTTCCGGGGAGCAAACTACCTAGCATGTTGCCACCAGCGAAACACAACATGCAACGCCCATGCTGCCTGTACCTGCATAGTCCGTACAAGACTGGGTAACCAAGTCACAAACAAGCAACAAAACTTGTAGGACTCCGGGCCAAAGGTGCCACCGACCCCACAGGCAGCAGACAGAGGCAAAGACAGTGAGAGTCACCCTGAGACAAGGGGACAGAGCAACTCTCTAACATGCACAAAAGCGAGGGGGGGACTCCGGGGTCACCCATGCGCCCCTAGGGGATTCCCAGTTTCCTGAGCATTTACTGGAACTCACACCCAGGTAATCCCAGGCAGGGTACTGCTAACCGGCGCTCAATTCTATCAAACAACCTTCCAAGTACTGAACCTCTGGGACGTGTACACTCATGGGGACCTAGCAGGGTAAACCAGCGGAAGAAGGAAGAATACACAGTACACAGGGGGCAAGAACCAAGGCAGACCCCCCACCAGGCAGATAAAGAAAAAGAAAAAGAAAACCCCGCACGAGGACAGCGTACCCAAGTGGAGCAGAGCCGGCCACCATGATTGATGAAAACAAGCTGTGCAGTACCCTGAGCCCCTGCCAGCGCAAAACTGCCCCTCACCCTAAGGCGAACAAGGGAGACAGAACACCCCAGCACACAAAAGGCGGCCGAAAACCAAGCAGTAAACGGCCTAGCAGAGGCAGAACCCAAGGAACTTGTGGAAGGTAACCCCAAGCCCCAAGGGCAGTACTTACAGGGCACCTAGGGAAGGAAACCCTAGGGGCATGCAACCCAAGTACTGGGGAATCACTCCCGGCTCACGCACCACCTAGAAAACAGACACCACACTCTAGGTACAGTGCTGAAACAACTAATGGAGCCGTAGCACACAACCGTTGCCTATAGCATCAGCCTCAGAACTGAAGGGTGGATAGCCAGGCGGGGGTCTGGGGCTCCTCCTTTCCTCCTTCCCCCTCCCAGCGAGGGGGGAGCTGCGCAGATAGCGGCGCCGTGACATGTGACATCATGCTAGTTTGCTCGTTTCCTTTTGGGGAGTTCAATCCACTTGTTCGGCTTTTGGTAGCAATTGTCACCAGAAAAGGGGTTTGTTTTGGGACTCTTACCTTTCTGGGTGCCTGACCCAGTCGCTGGCAGACATAGAATGCTTCCAAACCCACGGGGGGTTTCTATAGGCCATTGCTCCCCATGCCTCTCTGAGGGGGGTCCAGGTTCTGGCTTGTGGTCCCCAGTAGGCCCACAGAACTCTATACACACATGACTGATGCCAAAGTTTGACATTAGCATATCAGCCTGGATAGCTCTGGGGAGCCAACGGGGCTTTCCCCAGAAAATGTTTCAAAAGTCAGTACATGTATTATTCTTTTATCTTTCTGAAATTAGTTATATGCTCATTGCTGTTTAGCCCCTTAATATGTCTTGGACATTTAGTTGTCATATTTTCCTCCTCATCTCTCTCTATCTTTGATATTAAGTCTTTTCTGAGGGGGGAGCCCCGTCGGCTCACTGGAGAAATTGCTAATATTAGACGTTGGCATCAGTCAGTGTGAATAGAATTCTTAGGCCTACCGGGGACCACAAGCCAGAACCTGGCCTTCTCAGAGAGGCACGAAGAGCAATGGCCTATAGAAATGCCCATGTGGTTGGAAGTCTGTCATTGCCATTGCCTATGTCTGCCATTAACCGGGTCAGGCACCCAGAAAGGTAAGCATCCCAAAACAAACCCCTATTCTGGTTAAGAAATTGCTACTGAGAGCCGAACTAGTGGACAGAATTCCCTAAACAAAAATGAGCAAACGAGCATGACATCGCCATCTGCGCAGCTCCCCCCTACCCAGGAGGGGGAGGGGAGGCTGTGTGAAGGAGGTAAAAACAATTAGTCACCCTGAGACATGGGGACAGAGCAACCCTCAAACTCGAATAAAGCGAAGGGGGGACTTGGGGAACTCAGGGGTCACAACCATCGGACCCGCGTGCCCCCGTGGGGATTCCCAAATTCCACTAGTTTGGCTCTCAGTAGCAATTTCTTAACAAGGATAGGGGTTCGTTTTGTGATGCTTACCTTTCTGGGTGCTTCACCTGGTCAATGGCAGACAGAGAATGCTTCCAAACACATGGGGGGTTTCTATAGGCCACTGCCCTGCGTGCCTATCTGAGGGGGGCCAGGTTCTGACTCATGATCCTCGGTAGGACTAAGAACTCCATTCACATTGACTAATGCCAAAGTCTAATACAGTATTAGCAATTTCCAATTTCTCCAGGGAGCCAACGGGTCTCACCCTGAAAATGGTGTTTCATTTTGAAAATGGTGTTTCAAAAATGCTGTTTTTTTTCTTGGCTATCAAGCAGTTTGACATTTTTTTTTCAAAATACTCTGTAGTAATTTGAGGTTACCCTCAATTTCCTTTTTCACCTTATCCCTGATGTCAACATTCATATTAATTAATTGTGCATCCATCATGTGTTGTATAAATTCATCTTTCGTCACTTGGACATTGCTACATTTTCACCTTAGATTTATTTTCTTTGATTTCCTCAGTTAGGGTCCCTTCCTGTAGTACAGTTGGGTTTGTTTTTGACTCGCAATCAAGAATTCCAGGTTCAAATCCCAGGTGGGACAGAAATGGTTGGGAATATTGCCTATCACCTAGCAGTAAGTACTCAGGAGTCAGTCAGCTTCTTGTGGGGGTTGCATCCTGGAGAGGGTCGTCAGTAATTCAACCTTGGGGAGACCTCAATAAAAGCCTAACATGTATATATACACTAACTCCCTGTCCCCCAACAATGAATTATTATTATATATTAATTTACTTAATAAGTACTTCTGACTTATCAAGTTCTTTACCTACTTACCACTAATATCTTCTTTCATTTAGGCACTATGTGTAGCAAGATCACCTTTCAGTGCCAGAGTTACCTGAACTACTGTATTACATCTTTACCACCAGTTTTGCCTTCAAGCTAACCTGATTTTCTTCTAAATGTTAAAATTTTGTCATGTAACATGTCACAGCAGCTTGATCATTACAGAAACCCTTAAATTCTGAATATTAAATGCTTTTGAGCTCTGCATCTTTTTGCAACTGGCAAACCTCCTCACTCAGTTCCTGTGTTACGAGATACTCGCTCATCCATACATTGGTCTGGCTGCTCGATATGTAAACAAAGGATGCCACCTAGTCAATTGGCTCAACAAATACAACTCATGTTTGTCTTTTTTCCACTTTTTATTGACACACTCAAGTACCTGCTTTATGCCATTAATATCTCCGTGCTCTAGGAGAGCACAGAGAACCCTCCAGCTCAGTGGTGTGTGTAATTCCCTAAGCTTAGATACAGAATGAGAACTACACTTGTAGTGTCCTGTAGTGTACTAAAAAGTTTAACCCTAACAGTACGGATAATGTCATACATTAATTTCCTGAGTAATTTAGTTATCATCATACAGTATGTTGATTGCAGTTATCACCTCGTTTATATTCAAATAATGAAAATATGGTTATGATACATCTATAATTATGTAATGGAGATAACTTAGACTAATTAAAAAATTATAGTATAATTTGTTCATTTCATGCTGCAGGTACACTTATCTTGTACCACAAGTAAGGCAATTACCATTAAATCACAATTTGGTCTTCCCACCCGGTGTTTCATTCATTTCTGTATGATATTACCAGACTGAATAGCAGCAAAGGAGTGGGTTCCAAGACACTTCCCTTGAGCTGTGCCAGAAATATCATTACATGCAATACAGGTATACATACAACATTGTAGTCCTATGTA